CGAGCGAGGACTTCCTTAAAAATCGTCATGGCGTTCAACGTGTTAATGATTAAAATGAATGATCACATTGCAATAATAATTCGCAATTTCTTTTCGTTAAAAAAAAAATAAAAAAAAAATAAATAAGTACTCACAACGATGATAACATGAATCTCTCTTTGTTAAAAATAAAAGAGAGAGAAAGAAAGAAAGAAAGAAAAAAAAAAAAGAGAGAAAAAAAGTATGATAGTGTTTCTAAGTACGAAAATTCTCACCTATATACATATAACAACAACACATTCATACAACACTACTACAATGTACGTATATTCAATGAGACTTGCTTTTATGCAGGAAAAAAAAAAAACAAAGAAGTTTACATCACTATTGCACTCTAACTCTTTCTCGGTTAACTATTTTCCACCCTGTAGACACAAACGACCAACTCCTCATTTTCTATTATTATCATTATCATAATTACGATCCGTATTTTCTCGTTATTGCGGTTTTAAAATGATCATCTACAAACACAAACAAACAAACAAACAAATAAACAACGTACGACGATTGAATTATTCCAATATAACAGAATTCTTTTTTGGTTTATTCTTCCGGACATAAATAATACCACTATTATTATTATTATTATTATTATTATTATTATTATTATTTTTTATTATTATTCTAACAGGAATATGAAATATTAAAGATAAAAGAAAGAAATAAAAAAAATAAAAAAATAAAAATAGAAATAATTGGATAATCTTCGAGTTCACTTAATGGATGGAATGAACAGTGGGGGTCAGGTGAGTTGAGATGAGGTGAGGTGAGATGAGGTGAGGTGAGGTGAGGTGAGGTGAGGTGAGGTGAGGTAAGGGGGTTAGGAAGAAAGGTAAAGAAATTTGATTGTATTACTTCTTATCAATCTAAATCAGTAAACGACCGCATTTATAGAAGAAAAAGGAAACCAAATAATAATAATAATAATGATAATAATAATAATATGAAAGAAAGAGAGAAATAGAGAAAGTTTAGCAGTGAAGTTGTTATACCCCGATAAGACCCTTTTTCATCTTGCAAGGAATATAGTTAACGAAAGGAGGACACACGAATAGAATCGATCGATCTTCAAACTATATATATATATATAGGTATCTATCTCTTATCGTTACTAGCATCCAAATTCTACGATGTACCAATGAGATAACACGCCCTTTTCCTTCTCTCTCTCTCTCTCTCTCTCTCTCTCTCTCTTTCTTTCTCTCTCTATCTATCTATCTATCTATCTGATACGTGTGCTTTCGATATCGAAGTAATGACGTATAACAAAAACGAATGTTATCATGAAAATTGATAACAAATGGATACGTTATATTATGTTTTATTAATTATTAATTAATTAGTAACAATTTAATGATCGATTTAAATAATTATTTTATTGAAATGATTCTCTATCAGAATTTTGTTGAATTTGTTTTAGTTGAAATCTATGTTGAGGTGGTTTTTTTTCCTAATTATGTTTTTTGGGGGGGTTTAAAGTAGAAAAATAAATGTAAATAAATAATCAAAATTAAAAGTAACCGTAGTATTTTGGAAAGTATTAATTTATCCTTTCAATCTTTATCAATATATTATTTCAATTAGTATTAATAATATAATAATAATAATAATGATGATGATAATGATGATGATGATGATGATGTGGATCAATTATCGAATTATTAAAAATTCATAAATTCAAGCAAATTCTGCAAATATATTAATTATTAGTAATAATGTTATAATAAATTAAATTATAATAATATATATTTAATAATATTATATTATATATATTAATAATTTAATATTATATTATTAATTAAATTATAATAATATTATAAAACTCAATAAAAATTATATATATAAAAATAATGCAATTTGAATAAAAAAAAACACACACAAATTATAATAATATGTATATAATAATATTATATTATTAATTAAATTATAATAATAATATAAAATTCAAATATATATATATATATATATATAAATCAATAAAAATTGTATATATTAAAATAATTTAATTTGTAAAAAAAAACACACACACACACAGAAAAAAATTATAATAATTTTATAAAATTAAAATAAAAAATCAATAAAAATTGCATATACCAAAATCATGCAATTTGAAAAAAAGAAAAAAAAGATAATAAAATATTTCTTTTAAAATTAACAAGAAAAAAAAAGATAATATTCACGATGCGCAAAATAACGTTACCCAACAACCAACAACCAACGACCAACGACCAACGGATAAATCCGTGATACAAAATATAATCCGTGTTCGTGAGACGAATAAACATTCATGAATACTCTCTCTACTACTACCTTTTTAATAAAACATATACATAAAACCCAGAACTCTCGATCAGCCGAACACTGTCGATCGATTACGTTAACTGTCATTAGAACCACGTGGTTTCCGGTATGAAAAACGGTTCGCATTGATTACAATATGATAGTGTCGGTAAGTGTATTCCAAACGTTACAGGGTGCGGTCAAGCTCTGTTACGTTGATTAACTTCATTGACCTCAAAATTGGAATCGAGTTACGATAAACAGACAGGTATTATGTATATGTATATGTATATGTATGTGTATGTATATGTATATGTATGTATAATCCGTACTGACCTATTTCATTCGTAATCATTTAAATGAAGTGAATTCTACGTTACGTAATGATGCATTACATCTTCTACCGTAACCAATAATTTGTCTTCATCATCATCACCATCATCATCATCATCATCATCATAATCATCTTCTTATTTGGTATTCATTTTCTTCTTTATGTGGATTAGAAGAATCAACTCACCGGATTATATGTGTCAACGTGTAACGAAATATCCCTATTATCTTGTTAATAACTTTTTCATCATCTCAACACCACCTTTGGATTTTTTTCTTTATACTCACCTGTAACAAAATACAAAAATATTGTTATCAAAAAAACGTACAATGTGAACACAATTATCATCATCATTATCATCATCATTTGAATAAATCATATAGAAAAAAAAAAATGATTAATTGTAATAGAACAGAAGACAATTGATACAGGGATGATGATGATGATGATGTTGATGATGATTATAACAAGAAGGTATTTGTAATGATTAGATTATAAAATAATTCTATTGATCTTGAACTTAGGACCACATTTTTAATAAAATTCTAATCGATAGAAATTATTAATCGCGTCATTGAACTAAACACGTCTATACCTTACATAGAGATAATTAGACTATGAGGGATTGGATTACATACGGTCACATGGTAAATGCAAGATCAATCGACCGAAAAAATTGACACCATCATCATATCATTATCGATTTAAAAGAAAAAAAAAAAAAAACGAATAATGATAAGAACAACGTCATATTTTATATATATGTACATATTTGTCTATATCGTCAGGCGTATCTTATTTCTTATCCACCTGTAAATACAATTCTCAATGTTTGTTAAATAAGAATATAGATTGAGGGGGAGAAGGGAAAGAAGAAGAAGGGGGTTAAAAGAAAGGAAATAAAATGAAAGGAAGGAAACCTTTCGAGAGAAAGGTTTGTTTATATCGTTGAAGAAATGATAAACTTTGTCAGGTAGAAATAAAATCAAAAAATTCTATTGAAATTTCGTCTGGTAATTGTAGATTTTTTTTTTTCTGGGTTATAAATATATTATATTAAATAATTATATTAATAATTATTTAATATAATTAAGTTGCTATGTATAATTTAATTGAAGAAATGATAAACTTTGTCAGGTAGAAATA